TGTGTGTGTGTGTGTGTGTGTGTGTGTGTGTGTGTGTGTGTGTGTGTGTGTGTGTGTGTGTGTGTGTGTGTGTGTGTGTGTGTGTGTGTGTGTGTGTGTGTGTGTGTGTGTGTGTGTGTGTGTGTGTGTGTGTGTGTGTGTGTGTGTGTGTGTGTGTGTGTGTGTGTGTGTGTGTGTGTGTGTGTGTGTGTGTGTGTGTGTGTGTGTGTGTGTGTGTGTGTGTGTGTGTGTGTGTGTGTGTGTGTTTTTTGTGGCACACTTTTTTCATGTGGCTTAACCTCTCTCTCTGCGTGTGTGGTCAATTATTTGTTGCTACTTTATAAACTGCAGCCTGTGCTGCTGCCGCATCAGCTATTGCTGCTGTTGCTGTTGCAGTTAGCTAGCAAAAGTTTCAACAACAACAATTGCAACTGCAAGTGCAGCAGCAACTGCTCATAAATTGACCAGAAAACTGAGTGGCTGCCGCTTAACATTGTTGCTACAGTGTGCGCGTTGCAGCTGCTGCAGCTGAGCCAATTCGTTTACGTTTTAGTTCACTTTGCTATGTATACCCTGTAGCTACGAAAGTGTGCTGAATCGGGTATAATATGCCACTGAGCTTCTCTGTTGCTAGTTCTCCAAGCTACAGTTGCTTCAAGCTCAGTCTGCCTATGCACAAGCTGAGCAGCAGCTTTGTGAACCTCATTTGCCACATGCTTAAGTCTTCGCTTCAGTTTAATGAAGCTTATTTTTATTCTCTGTGCTTCACAATCTGTTGCAGCTGGCCGCCTGGAACGGTTGGGCTTTGACTATTGGCATCTGTTAGTCAAGCACTTTAAGTACTTTTTTTTTGTTATTTTAATTTTTTATTATTGCTTTTGCTGCTGAACAGAAGTTTCTAAATCGCAAACGCAAAGCAAGCCAACGGGGCGGCTTCGGGGAATTGCAAAAGGCGTAGGGGAGGAGGCCATGAGAAGTGGCTGGTGGGCAGTGGCAGGCGGTGGCTGGTGGCTGGGGATTGCTTTAAAGTGGCTAAGCTAGTTATATGGATGTTATTGTAGTTCGACATGGCAACAGCATCAAGTTACGGGGCAGCTGTCACGCAACGACTATTATTACACATGTTTGCGTCTGAAGTTTAATGCACACACACACACTTACACACACGGATACACGCATAGCGCACGTCACACTGTCAAAGCTTGTGCTTAACAGAGCAGGAGTATCGATTGCATAATCGTTAAGGTATTGTTAGTGCAGAGGAATTCAACAGGAATAACAGGCAGATGGCGATGGAAGAAGAGCTAGCGACACGTACAGTAAGCTGATTTGCATGACAACTTATCGATAATGCTATCGAACTTACTAGAATTATCGGAAGGGCAACTCCTAGGAAATGTCTCTATTTTTTTGTATATTGTAATGTGACGCACTTGTAATATGCCATATTATTTATCAAAAGTGTTTCAAGAAACGTTTTAGCAAAAGTAATCGATGTGCTTTAATAACTATCGATGCTACAACTTCGATTGCTATATAAGCATGGATATATAATTAATGACTTGATAATTTAAGAAGTTTGCTGGACTGTAGACTGCTAAAATGCTATCGATTTGTTATATGTTATCGATTAATTTACAGCAATCGCTTTATTTGAAGAGCTGTCAAATAAACCTCTCTACCGTTTTCAGACACACTGTAAGTATTGTGTTTTGAGCGTTCGTACACGTTTTACTGGCTGCACTCTCAGACGCCTCCAGCCAATTTCAGATCTGAATATTGAGAAACATTTATGCCCATAATTTATGTAAGCCTTACATAAATACTAGGGCTGACGAAACGTGGCACAAATCATGCGACTTAAGAACTTGTCAGGCCCAAAGGCGCATAGCTCAAGAAGGCCAAAGGCGGCAATCAGGGGCAAGAGGTATCACGTCTAAGCTTAAAAGGTAGGAAGCAGCATTAACACCTTTGGGTAGCATAAATCGTAGACATGGGCCGCTTGGCACGCAGTTGCCAGTTGCCAGTTGGCAGTTGCCATTCGGCAGTTCGCTGTTGGCAGTTAAGTGGCTAAAACTAAGCCAGGCAATACGTCAAACCGCTGGAGTTTATTAAACCGAATGTGGCAAATGAGAGGCTTCTGGCCATTTTCTATTAAGTGCCAAGAGTTTAATTTACAGCCCCGATGCGTGCTCTGGGCCAGGTTAAGGGGGTTATTGTGTGTGTGTGTGTGTGGGAGGGGGGTGGCAGCCAACAACAATAAATTACGCAGCAGACGAGGCCGGAAATGAGTCTGACTGTCTGTCTGGTTGGCTGCTTCGGATGTGGCATGTGGCATGTGGCAAGTGGCAAACGGCAAACGATAAAGGGGAAGTCTAGGCCAACAGCTCGGCTTCAATCTTGAACGTTTGGTGTCTGACAAGCAATGCGAATTCTAATTAAAATTTAATTGTTTACACTTTGCGACAACAAACGGAAATGGCAAAAGGAAGTGCGCCTCAATGTGCCTCATGTAGACAGCTCCGCAGCTCTGTAGCTCCACAGTTCCACAGGTTTCCAGCTAACAGTTTTTAGTTCCGACTTCCTGGTTCAGCTACGAGTTACTAGTTCTCAGTTCCATTAGCCTTAACATTGTTGTCGTGACCAGCGCGTTTAATTGTCTCCGGGGCTGATTTACATGGAGGCCCGACACCCAAAAGTTTACAACACAAACAACATCTTCTGACCGGGTTTTCGGATAGGTGAAGTGGGGCGTAGCCGCCCCTAAATGGCTGACTGGCTGGCTTGAACGTGACTCGCATACCGATTGAATGCTTATCAAAGTGTATAAAATTTCATAGAAATTATGACGCGCGGCCGCCAAAAGTTGCTCGCGCTGCTCTTCGACAGGCAACGCGCAGTGTGGGCGTGGCCCATCTGTAGCTACATTGTGTGCTTTAGCATTTTATTGTCTTTAAGCTTCATTAAGTCAAATGGTGCAAACGTTTAAGTCACTCACAAAAGACAGCAGCGACAGTAGGACACCAGGACAGCAGGAGCAGCACCATCATCCGGTACAAACAATACCAACGACGCGTATGAGCAACGCGCCGCATTAAGTATACGCATTAAGTATACGCAACATTGTTCATCCAGCTACAATTGGCAAGACAAAAGCCGACGGAGGGACCTACTGCTGCCTTCGCTGGAGCAAACAGGACTGTCTCCCCCCATAAAGCATGATAAAAAGAGATAGCTTGGAGATTATTCGGACAGAGCTAAAATACGAAACTTAAAGCGAAGGCTTGAAAGCATTTTTAATGCTTACCCAAAAGAATATATAGCAATGACAATGACAATGACAATGACAATGACAATGACAATGACAATGACAATGACAATGACAATGACAATGACAATGACAATGACAATGACAATGACAATGACAATGACAATGACAATGACAATGACAATGACAATGACAATGACAATGACAATGACAATGACAATGACAATGACAATGACAATGACAATGACAATGACAATGACAATGACAATGACAATGACAATGACAATGACAATGACAATGACAATGACAATGACAATGACAATGACAATGACAATGACAATGACAATGACAATGACAATGACAATGACAATGACAATGACAATGACAATGACAATGACAATGACAATGACAATGACAATGACAATGACAATGACAATGACAATGACAATGACAATGACAATGACAATGACAATGACAATGACAATGACAATGACAATGACAATGACAATGACAATGACAATGACAATGACAATGACAATGACAATGACAATGACAATGACAATGACAATGACAATGACAATGACAATGACAATGACAATGACAATGACAATGACAATGACAATGACAATGACAATGACAATGACAATGACAATGACAATGACAATGACAATGACAATGACAATGACAATGACAATGACAATGACAATGACAATGACAATGACAATGACAATGACAATGACAATGACAATGACAATGACAATGAAATCGGTAAACCAACAATATACAGATTCTTTCTCCCTCTGTCTGTCCCTTTTTCTTAGTCATTTCGCTAACAGGCTATGATTATGCATAAGTAACCCCTTTAATTGGCTGCGTGCCTATTTGATGAACTCAGTTCGAGTACATATGTTCACAAGAGCCCAACACACATATAAGTATGCCCCGGAGTGAACCACATCAGTTGTCACATATGAGCCACCTGGCAATTAAAAAGTTGTCGCAGGCGCTAAACACGAATTCATGAGAACGAAATCGAGTTAAAGTAAATTAAATTAAACACAAAACTTTGTAAAAGAGCCACAAACGCAGAGAGTGAGGCGATGGGGTGTGATGCGCGCAGGCCGCGTGGCAGGGGCAGCAGTTATAGCCGCAGATAACGGAAGTGGTAAAATGGGGAAGGATAGAGGAGAGCAACGATTCCGGGCGCTCATTTCGTTTATTAAGTTTTGGACGCCCACGCAACGCTCCGGGACAAAAGTCAAACCACGCGCAATTTTAGTAAATTAGAAAAAGGGCAAATCGTGGTCGACGACAGAAAAACACAGAGAGCGAGAGACGGAGAATTAGAGGGAGAGAGAGTGGGAGACGGAAGCAGGATGTAACGATGGGTGGTAGGCGGTGGAGGATTGTCAAATTGTCGCGTAATTAAAATTGAATCAGCGCAGCCATGAAATTGGGTAAAAACATAGCCATACAGCAGTGCAAAGTGCAAGTGGAACTAGTTCCGGAGTTATATGCCTAACTAAAACAAAGCACAGCTCAAGCGGAAAGAGCTAAGCACCCATTAAGACTGTCAGGGAACTAGTTCATATATGTTTTATGACTCAGTTCGCAACCAACGCAGTACAAGCTAAGCTAATGGAACTTCATCAGTTCCACTTGAGTTACTCGAAAATGTGGCCAACGCTGAAACTGGAATGGATGTTCAAGCGGCAACTGGAACAGGTCCAACGACTTCATGGCTAAAGTGTATGAGATAAATAAATTTATTAAAACCAATTGAGAACTAACTAGCATCTGTCGTAGTAAGTGGTTCATGCCTTGAACAGTTTCTGATTGGGTTCCTCGAGAGCTCTTTTCAGACAATCCACAAAAAATTGGCATATGCAAGGCAGCGCAAAGCTAAGAATCGCTTGCCAACTGAACTCTTCGCGTCCAAAGGTAACCTCCAGACTCCACAGAACCAAGTCAAAAGGTAAGATAAATCTTGTTACTGTCAGCCAGGGCTTCATATATATGGGTTTGCTCTAAAACAATAGCTAAAGTTCGCATATTTGACATACGGCGGTTTATGATAGCACGCACCCACAAGAGGCCTATGAAGAGCATCAGCCAGCAGACGATCATGACGAGGCTACCCATGACGCGCATTTGACGAATGATCGTGTCTCGCAGCCCATAGAAGCAGCGGACACGCCACATGGACACAGGTCGCGTAGCGACCAACTTGGCTCGCACCAATTCAACGAAATTATGGATCTAAGGGTACGAGTGCAGGACATTAGGCGAGCTCAAATGAGGGAAAGTTATTTAGCCCACCAGCCCCAAAAAACTGTAGACGACACAGAACCAAAAGAGCCAAGGCAACCAGTTCTTGATCGCACGCCGTATTACATATTGACGTCGATTCTGAGCATGGCGCGTGGGCCAAATGGAGAACACATCGAGGTTCACATGGCGGTGCAACAGATCATTGCAAGCATCTCTGAAGAAGCGCAAATTTTTCATCTTCTTAAAGTAAAAAATGAAAAAATTATAAATTAAAAACTAAAAAATTTATGTTGACAATATTGTGAAAGGTTTTGAGATGATGTGATTCGAAAATCAAAAATTTCTCAAATCATTGAAAATGCCATGGGCATAGAGAATATTATGGGCATAGAGAGGCGTGGCCGTGTCTGAGCTCCGATAAGTACACACTCTTGTGGCTGTTATTGATGAAGACCTAAGTTCGACAACAGGAAGTATTGAACTGGCTACACAAGTCCATCGAAAACCAAAGGAGTGCCTGGCTTGTCGACGAGATTGGATAAGATAGGACTTCAACCTTTCAAGTCTCAATACATCAACCATGAGTTAAAACCAAAACTCTTAATTTATTGCAAATATATTTTAAAGTGAATGCGTATAGCTATCTGTATTATTTGCGTTGCCTTTACATATAAAGTTTCTCCATAATATATGGCCAATAAATCAGTAAGGCGGGGCTAACCGAAACAAATCGGAAAAAAAGTTGCAAGCGAAAGGCGCCATCTAGCGTTGAAATATTGCAAAAGTGAAGCAAGCCCAGGCAGAAATAGATGTCAGGCATATCTCAAAAGCGCTGTCAGTCGATGAAATTGAAGCAAAAAACAACTATGAAGGCACACGTAGAGTGTGTGATAGAGAGGGGGAGGGGAAGAGCTAGCGAACTAGTTAAACCACAAGAATTAAGTCGGGCAAATGGATTGAAGTTGAGAGTTGAGAGTCCTTTGATGGTTCTCTTTGGTTATTTGTTTCGATTGGAAGCCGAGCAACAAAGTAAATAATGAAATGGCCGCAAAAATGTGCTAGGTCCAGCAGAGACCTGTCCCAGGATAACCCGACACGATGATGACGCTGCTGACGACGTGGCTGCCGTTGATGATGATGATGAAGAGGAAGATGGGGCAGCTGCTGATAAGGCCAGCGCTTTGCCTGTTCCTGCTGCTGCTGCTGCTGCTGCTGCTCCTGGCTGCTGTTGTCATTTGCGGTTGCTGCTGCTGGTGTGCTTCATTGGTTTTTGATTGTGTGTCGGGCTGCTTTATTTATTTATAGCTACGAAATCGGAGCTGGGCCCCAATACCCCAGTTGCCGGCCCAGACAGGATGTAGCCTTCATAAAATATTATAACTTGTTTTACGCCCAGCCTGATCCCGAACTTCGACTGGAAGGCTGCGCTTCAAGCAAAGTTAAATTGCAAACAAGCAGCAGCAGCAGCAGCCGCAGCGCAGCCAAGTCTCTTGGATTCTTGTGGCGCAGTTTGCTGGCTTTTTGTATAACTTTTGATTAATAGAGTGGAGTTGGGCCTTGGTAACGTTACTCGACGGCTGCCATAATTGCGCCACATGCCCAAAAAAAAAAAAGGAGAAGCAACGAAAACAAAGCAAACAGCTACAAGGACAACAAGCAAAACAACTCCAAGTCGAGCTTCGTGCACATGACAAGCCACAAGGCACCGCAGGCAGCCAAAAAAAAGAGCCAGAAAACAAATAGATGAAGAAGCAGAACTTTACTCACGCTAAATTGATTCTGCGCCGGCGAACAAGTGAGCTGGATATACATAGTTAGGCTCCAGGATAACAGGCAAATGCACTTATGCAACAGCTCTGCATTATGCCAATGCTCTTGATGTGCTGGGCCAGAGCTGAAAACGTATTCCCACCATATTTCGACTCGCAAAAGCGGCTTGTTCTACACTGCCTTCGGGCCGTATGGCAACCGTTTGATATTCGAGCTGGTTTTTCCCTAAGCCACATGCCGCGCCCAACCCGCTTGCTGTGCGCCCAAGTTATTCTCGCCAAAGTTGAAGCACATAATGTGCTCGACGCAAGCCGAAATTGAAGCTTTAATGGTGTAATCGATATGTTATCGATAGACAAAGCAGCGGCTGCAGCGTGTGTGCACAGCATGTGTCCTTGATAAGCATTTCATTATGCGGAGTACTCTGGGCAACTCAAACGTTATCGATGTCACACAGCTGCTTTGATGAATTACATTGACCGTGCTCCAGCTCTTCTCCTGCTGCCTGTTCACAGTTTTCGCTTTACCCTAATGCAATTGCGCTCGAAGCCAAATTAAAGAGATGTATTAACGGCACATACACGCTAAAGATGTGTCAGCTCTCGTTGACGTAGGAAATCAACTTATTTTCTCATAGATAGTTAAACGAAAACAGTTTCGATATGTTATCGATTATCACTAATTGACTTCTCATTGTTTTGCGTGTTTAGCTTTGCTCTCTTGGAAAGCTCTGAATGTGCGCACTTTGAATATATGTCAGATTGTCTTAAGCACAAATCGATAAATTATCGATTATATGCCTATCAAGTTTCTCACACAGTGCACTTTGCCTGTACGACTTTCACAGTTTGGCTTAGCGAAATTTCGACAAAATGTAATGTGTGCGTTGTCAAAATGTTATCGATTGTGTTATCGAAAATTAGTCTTAGCTAAGTATGTAAAATGAGAGAAAGAAAAGCATCGAACCATCATCAATAGTCAGCAAATATAATATGAATGAAATATTTGTTATCGATAACTATGTCGACACCAGGCACAAGCAAGTTATTCGATGAGAAGACGCTATCGATAACAGGCAACAGTTACTTCATTCCTTCGCCCATTACCGAAATTCTATTGAAACTGAAGTTGAAAACGCGCTCGAGTGATTTGCCGTCTGCCCGCCTGATTGACTGGCGGATGGGCGAGGGGCGCACCGAGTGAATGACTGACGGTCGGAGTCTGCTGCAAACGATAGCACTGACAGCAGCAGAGTCTGGTGCTGGCAATGGCCAACGTCTACTTGCGACTTAAAGCGATTTGCCTCGAGTGGCTGTGCTTTAATTCGTCGAGTGAGAGATCGAATTTGAAGTCGCTTCGCTAATAACGTTAAGCTAAATGCGCTGCTCAAGTAGATGCCGTCGTCGTGCATGCACACTTAGAGTCAGCTGAGTGCCTGACACTCAGCAGATGGATGACCCATGCTCAAATGCTCAGATGTTCAGACGCTGGCATATGCACATGCTCTGCCGGCGCCGTTGCTCCTGCTCGCTGCTGGCAGGCCCAAGTAGGCGGCAAGTGCGGAGCATGGGCGAAAGCTTAGCAAAAATACTTTCATAATAATCTTTATGCCACGATGTTTCGAGAGCTAAAAGAAGCATATAAAAATAAACCCCCACTCCACTCACTCCAAAAAATAAAAAAAAACATCGAAAAACCAGCTAAACGAGCATAAACTCAAGGGTTCATCCAGGACGAACGCGAGTTCCAGAGCGGGCTGCGTGTCGGGGCTTGGGGTATGCGAGGGTGGAGGCGGCACAGGTTGTTCGAGTCGAGTACACTGTGATTTGTGTTTGTTGTTGTTGCTGCTGCTGTTGCTGTTACGAAATTTTCCTTTTCTGCTTTGCTATTTTTCTCTTCATTTTTTTTTTATGAAGTCGCAGCCCTTTGCTGAAAAGGCTGCCCGGAAAACGGATTTTCACTGTCTTTGTTTGGCAGATTATAGATTAAAGATATTTTAGTTGAATACAAACCAAGCAAAGCCTGATAAAATGCAGGCGTGCCTTCTATTCAATGCCAACGCTTGATACAAGCATTTCAAATTGGCAACAACAAAATAAAAGAAAATCCAATTTAACGATTGCTATCTAAAGATATTTGATACTAGCGATAATATTTATCGATTAGAGCCAACAATTTGTATAATTTCACTTCATTTCCATTTCAGTCAAAGAGCCTGGAACAATATTCATTAAGTTTTCCGTTTTCTGCTCAAAAGTTATAATTTCCTTTGAACTCTCCCTGGGGACCGAAAGTTGAATAGAATTTTCCAATTTCCATTCCCAAATGCCAGGCTTAATATTGTCAAGATTAAAGAGAGCACGTAGCCTTCAATAACCCCTATATCAATGTCAGATCTTGAGATTTCTATCTGCGATATGCTTTGGTCAGTGTATCCGAAGTTGTTGCTGTTTTTCTTGTTGTTGGGCATGGTCAAAACTCTTTTTGGCTATTCACAGCTGTTTGGCTGTTGGCCGTTGTTTTTCTTTATACTCTGCACACACTGAGCATTGGCCACAAGCGGGCATATTGGCTTGGACCAACGTACGTCGAATAGGCAAGCTCAGACAGTTAGCTTTGCTCTTCTGCCTAGCCATGACTATATCTTCTCCTCTAGTATCTAAAATGCACCTAAGACTCGTTCAAATTGATATAAATGAAGTGCCGTTAGCTAATACAGCCTGCTATGTCGTAGCTACAGGGCATCTGCCAGTCGATACGCTCGAGTGCTGCAGCTCTTCTACATGTTTTCTTTTTTCTGTTTTTGTTATTTTTGGTTGGAAAATGCTAAAAGCAAAGTTGGATTATTGGTGTATGATGCCCCCATGTGCTCCATGTGTATTTAGGCGTATATATCTGAGTGCGAGTGTGGGTGTGGGTGTGGGTATGTTGGTGTGTGTGAAAAGATAATACAAATCTCTAGCTGGGCTTGAATGCGTATACCTGTAGGTGTGTGTGTGTGTGTGTGTGGGCATGTGTGTGAGCTGTGTAGGCGTGGCGCTGCGCAGCAAAAGTTTATTGCCCTACTTCATTCCCAACATCTTCTGCGCCGTGCTCCCTGCCCCAGCTTTCCGCTCACCAGCCAGGTGAGTTTTATATGCAATAATTTTTTTTTTATACCCTGTACTCATAGAAAGGCTAAGCAAGGTTTTAAGTTGGACTTAAGTTTATGTAGTGGGCAACTGCAATCCCATAAAGCGCCACTCGCCAGTCCCTCTTCACGTGGAGCTCTCGATTATGTTGCAAAATTTGCTAGGCATGTTGCCAAGACAGCCTCGCTTCTAGAGCCGTAGAGCTATGAATAGTAAGCAGGCACAGAAGCGGAACTATCGATAGATATCGATTGGCATATATGCTATTTGCTTTCGATTTCGATATGCTGAAGAATTGGATGATTTTGTAATGTAAGAGATCTATTGATTAATCGATTGTTAGCCAAAAGTTATCGATAGATGTGATTGATGATAATATATGAGATTCATTTTCCAATGTCGGAGAGCTCTGGTTAATCGATTGTTAGTATAGATCGATATATATCGATAAGGATAAGTGAGACTTAAGAGAGAAGTATAATTAATCGATAGTTGCTACTTGCCATACCCATTCAACTATCGCTAGTAAGTGTATCGCCTAGACATAGGAAAACATTTTTCCTTAGCGATACGAACTTTCGATATACTTTGAACTACGTCAAAATATCAGTCGACCTACTGCAGCGTGATCTACTGAAATTCACGCTATTGCCATATCGAGCTAGCGCGCCCATCATGGCCAAGGATGTATGGCGACTTTTACAGGGTATGTGGCAAGCGGACATGCCTCATAAGTTGCAGCTCTTTTTGGTCATGTGTGGCAGGCGACGCCGTTGAGTTGGATTTAATAAATTCTAATGTTTGCTTACCGTGGCTGGCAAGCCTTTCAACCTGCAACCGCACAAAGGTTCGCTTAGCTTTCAAAAGTGGGCGTGGCAGGTGGTATGGGCGTGGCTAAAATAGAGCGCACATCTCATAGGGTCAACTCTTTGGCTGGCCTGGCAAAAGGCGGCGACGGCAGCAGTGGCAGCTGCAGCAAATTTACTTTTATTGCAAGTTGCAGCGCCGCAGGAAGGATGCGTCCAGGCTTAGGTCCAGGTACAGGTACAGGTCCAGGTCCAGGTCCAGGTCCTTGCACTGCAAACACATTCACATACAAGCACATGTAACTGGCAGCTGGCAGCTGGCAGCTGAGCTGATGTAGACATTCAAATGAATGAGTGCTGGGACAACTGGCAACAGTCCAAGCGCAGCAGCACATCTATATATATGTATATATATAGAGAGAGAGAGAGATAGGGAGATATTTGTTGGCTGAAAGAAGTGGCAGAAGAAAGCATTGAAGCTGTTCAAGTCGTTGCGTTTAATTAGTAAAACGATTTATCCGAAGGCGGTCGGCAAATGGTGGGCAGCAGAGTTGAAACTTCTGAGCTCAGCTGCCTGTAATTTTGTATCTGTGGTGTAGTCGTCTTAAGGCAAGCTTACTAAAGAAGTGACGAGGACAGCGACGTCGATGTGGGTGTGCGTATGGTTATTGACGGTGCGGTGTCGGAAGCTAGCGCAGCCAGGACCACGGCTTGTACCAGCTGCGCTGGCCTTGCTTCTTGATTTCAGTCTTCGCCGCTGCCACCCCCATGGATGTGGGTGGCACTACCGGCAATGGATGCAACGCTGGCTGCTCTTGCTGGTGCTCCTGCGAACTGTGCCTACTACGATCGAGGTCATTTTCTTGATGCTCGCGAGCCAACCGCTCGATATGCTCCTGGGTAGCCGCACTCACGCACAACCTATAATCATCCATGGCGGAGAAGCATTTGAACGATTCCCGTCGATGTTGCTCCAGGCAGCGCTGCAACTGCGATGCGAATGCCGTGCAGGGCATGTGGGCTTCTCGGCGAAAGTGGCGCTGCGTGTGATCCACCAAACGGTCGAACTCCTGGCAAATGGCTTCCGGAGACCTGGCTTATAGAAACAGAATAAGATATCGATATCTCTCTTCCTTTCCCTCTCCCTCTCCCTCTCTCTATCCCTCTCTCTCTCTCTTTCTTTCTGTCTCACTCTACTCACATGCGCTGTATGTCTTCAATGGCGCTGAGCACGCTACCCTTTTTAGCCTTAGACGACACTACTTTGCTCTTGGGCGGCGCCGCGGCATTTTTAACGTCCAGCCCCGCGCTTGGCTTATCTCCCATCAATACTCTTTCGTACTATATTGAAATTCCCGCTATGGCCGAAAATCTGTTCCAAAAAATAACCTGTGTGTTTTTGTTTTGAGATTCAGTTCATGTATGTGTTTGTCTACAACTGCCAATATAAATTGAATCGGTTTCCGATACTACTTGCCGATGCCCCTAAATAGCTCGACATAAAAGTCGACTCAGCTCTCGACCAAACACACAGGTTTAGTCAGATCCCAACCAATGACAGCCAGAAGACAACATTGCTACGTATCGAACTGGCTGTCTCTCTGTCCGTCCGTCCGCATCACTTTTAATTAAGATGAAGTTGGAGCTTGGGCCCGCTGCGACTGCCCAACATGGAAAACTACACTTGAGGCATTTAAATAAATTGCCTGCGGCGAAAGAAATGAAAACTTTATTCATCTCATCAAAGTACGTTAATAAGCTTAAAATAAAAAGCATTTCATCATAATTGGAGTCAAGTTTCGCAGGTATTTTGCCCCTGCTCGGGCCCTGCCCCTCTACTCGTGCGTCTCCGTCAAAATATGCGATTTGGCGAGACTTTTAAGTTTTCATTTTATTATCAAATTTGGAATTCGGAATTCGGAATTTGTTTTAATTGCGCGTTTAGGCGCAAAGTTTTGCCAACATCTTTGGCTTTGTGTTCGCAGTGTCAATTGCAGGCTGCACTTCATCATATGCCAGAAGGCGCACGGCCAAGCAGATTCTCTGTGCGTGCTACCTGCCTGAGACTGCGACAGAGACAGAGAGTGAGAGTGGGATGACCTCTGGATAAAAACTTCGAACATAAAAGAAACTCAAGAAGTTGTTTTGCGGTTTGTTCTGCTGGCGGGAATTTCGTTATTGGAATTTTCATTGGCCACAAAAATACTTTTTCGATTAAACTTTAACGGCGCGTGAAATGCCCGGAAAATGTGTAGGTAAAGATGGCCAGCTCCCTGCCGGCGCTCTCCGCGCCCTCATCCTTACGAATTCCAAAACAGAGACCGCATACCGCAAATCACAAAATGATTAATTACGAACTAAAAGCAACCAAAAGGGAACCAACTAACGAGTGCCCTTGACCGCCGAACAAATGCCAATTAGTGCAAAATATTTCAGGTCGCCGCTAATGGATATCAATTCGTAACGCCTTCCGGCCTTTGCCGACGCCCAAAAAAAAAAACACAAAATATATATATCAAAGGGCGCACTGAGCCAATTCCGAATGCGATAGCAAACAACGAAAATATCGGCAACAGAAACTCGTTAACAGCCTGCGACAATGGCCCAAATTTCAGAGCACCCAGGGCTGTCTCTGGCCTCCCCCTTAACTACCCTCCACTCCCCTCTTGAGTCAGATCCTGCAACTGGCAGCTGAGGCCCCGAAGCATTTGGTATTAAGTCCAAAAATACGAGCGAAACTGAAACTCAACAGAGCTTTCCCTCCATGCCATATACCGCATTCCCCAGTTAGAGGAAAAACCCATGAGCTGAAACCCTGAAATTGAGTAGAGTTGCATTTGCCTCGACAGAAGTCAATATCTAGTTTGATGCGCAGCAGAGTTTAGTGGATTAGTGAAGTAACAACATGAGGAAATTTGTTGATGCAACAGGCCAAGTTAACTATATTTTTAATTACTAGACACATATACATAAGGATGGATCGACTGCAGCCTAGCTGCCTTTGACATCGAAACTTACAGATAGATATATTAGAAGATAACTATATATATTATATAACTAAGCAAACTAGATCAGATCACAAATAGTTGTCGAATCACATTTAAATTGCAGCTTGGCTTTCGCTTTCTTATTGGCCAGGAGCTCAGTCTTTATCTCTCGCAGTCATCCATGGCAGACGCCCTGTAAAGGAGATAAGCAAAAAACTCATGGAAATAAAGAGTTTGCTTGACTAAACTATTTTGCATAACGCAATGTTTATTAGTATTTTTAGTATTTTCAGTAATTTTAGTATTTTTCATATACCGATTACAAATCAATTCGAAGTGACGTTATTATAAGAATTCAAGGGATGAAATTTAGTACAGTCTGACCGAAACGTAAACAAGTGTTAGTAAATATGAAATTTAAGTGGATGGCATAGGAGTTACGATGTTAGAGTTACACAGATCTCTGTTAAAGCAAGTGTTGTATAGGGGGAAGGAAGTTGCTTAGCTGCACAGGTGTGTATTATGGTATGGCAATACCCTCCGGTAGCCAGTGTTGAAAAACAAAATTTAAGTGTTGTAAGTGAATGAAAACTATGTGCAGATAGCTGAAAGAAATATGCGAAATTAAACTGGATTCTGTGTTACCTATATATTACCATCTCGGTCTGTCTGTTCACCACATGGGCGCGGCTTAGCGACGTCCATGTGGACCCGAGAGACGACGGCACTTCTCGTGGCGACAGTTGTGCACGTAGGGATTCAGCTGATGGCGATGCCACCAGTGGAGATCGGGCGCAGTGCGCAGTAGGGCCTGGTAGTCGTGGAACTGGGCCAGCGTGATGAAGTTGCGCTTGGGGCAGTGGGCGTCGTGATGATACTCGCACAGCTGATCGTAGATCCAGATGCGTCGACTGCAGTAGCGTATGTTGTTGTTGTGCGACGGCGCGCGCTTCAAGAACTTCTCGATCTCTGGCCGAAAGAGCAGCTTGCCCAGGCCGGTGACCGCGCTCTGCTGGCGCAGCTGGAGCACCGCCTCGAGCGGAATGCTATCGAAGCGCACACAGCTCATCAGCTGGTCGGTGTGGGAGCAGCGCGCCTGATAGTCGTGATACAGCCAGAGTATGACAGCGATGAGCACCTCCACCTCGGAGTTGACGCAAATGCAGGGCGAGTCAAGCAGCGAGACGAGCGCATTGGGCCACAGGTTGAGGAACTCTGGTGTGCCAATCAGAGTTAGGAAATATTTGTGAACGCGCAACGTTTTGCGGAACGGCACATAGACGTTCATCTTGTGCAGGCCGAAGAACATATGGAAGCCGATCTCTTCGCGTGCCGTATACGGATCACGAAACTCGACCATAAACTGATCGATCAGCACCTGGATCTTCAGATACATGGCCGCCTTGAATACGCTCATCAGCATCGGCGGCAAGATGATCTCGTTCGGCTTCGCCATCCACTTGTAGATGATCATGAAGGCATCCAGGCTGACGTCGCAGGCGGGCAGGCCGTAGGCCATGCCATGCTTGCCCCGGGCAAAGAAGTCGCAATTGCTCTGCAGCAGCTCAAGGTCGCACACCACCTCGGTGGGTCCAATTATTACGGTTACTGTATATTTCGGTTTCGGATTTACCTGACGCACAATCGCCGCTGCCTTCTGAGCCTCCGCCAGGCGCGCCCGACGCTCGGCCATTGTCGTCGGCTGCACATCCAAATAGAGACGACGATACTGCTTGCCCAGCTTCAAGATGATGATTCTCGAGCGCGGTATATGAATGTAAATTGGCTGAACGTTGGCCTGATTCTGTTTCTTAGGCAGATAGTGGTTACCGCAAGACATGCCGATTCCTGTTCGCGATATCTAGCCTGATTCAGAAGCAATTTCAGTACGACTCCCATCGACTGGCTGACATACTTACAATTCGAAGAGAATATTTTGGGAATTTTGAACTCCGCACAGACAAGTTGTGAATCGCACAATGACACAGCGTGAAAGAGTATAGCTGTCTTGCTTCAGGGCTGAAGTAAACTCGGTTTTCCAGTGCTGCGAGGCAGTTCGATTGGCCCAACAGTGTTGGAAAACAGTGTTAGCTTTGATGTCATTGTTTTTCATTGACTGGCAACCTGATTGCTGACCAAACATGAGTCATACAACTTCCGATACCTATATTTCTATAGCGCTCTCACTTATCGATAACACCTAGTGGTTGACACATAGAATATGGTTTGCCAAACGAGAGTTATCAGGGACAAATTTTGTGTCAGCTCTGTCATATCTGATCGATATCACATACGCAATGGCATGAAAGTAATATAGTATCATAGGCAAGATGATGTCCACAACAAGCTTTCCTGTATTGAAGTTTCTTTTGCTATTGCTCTTAATTGGTCAACTTTAGCCACATCTCAGCTATACTATACTATATTGAGACTCTACTGGTATCGATATCTGCTTATTGCAAGCAATAAGCATTCATTCCATTCGACATTGAGGCAAGTTTTGCAAGTCTCTCCATTGGCTCAGCTGTCGGAGCAGAACAAGGCATAGCCTAGAGGCAGACAAGCTATAAGTGTAGAGCTTTCGAAAGTTATTTCTTGATTTATTATTCATAACTAACTCGGGTCTTGCACAGCTCAAGCTGTAACTAAGGCAATTGGGCTATGAACAGAGCAAACGAATACGAAATGAAACAAAAATGAACTCAGCTCATTTCATGATTTCTCTTTGATGCAATGCATGTTTCGTTAGCAATTTATTTCAAGTAACTGCATTAAATAAAGTAAATATGTTATTGGAATTCGAAAATCCTTCAACTCGAAGTCGCACTAGGGCACAGTCAATTGCCAACCCCGAGCTGCTGCGCGTCTAGCCGCAACCTTCATATCAGGATCATGTAAGAAAATAAAGATTATAATCAACATGAAAATCAAGCGGCAAAACTTTGTGGAATCCCCCTAGTGTTTCAAAGTCCCTCACCCCATTCCCCACTCCCTACTACTCCTTCCAACACACACAGACACATACGCGCGTAATCCGTGGCAGTTTCTCATCTGCAGACATGGCAGAAGCATACTTACTGTTGCCACGCCCACGCAGCCACAGTTGCCAGCTGCAGCTGTGTCTGGGCTTGGGCTTGGGCTTGGGCTTGGGTATGTGTCGCTGCAGCTGGCGCAACTCACAGCAGGCGCCAGACACGTTCCAGCATCCAGCAGCCAGCGCGTCGCACGCGAAACCGCAGCAGAATGTCGTGTGACTTCGACTGTTTCTTCCCCAGCTGCAGCTGCCCATTCCCAGTCCAATCCAAGTGCCATTTTCTAAGCGAATTTTTCACACATTCTATACACACACACACACACACATCTTTTTCTTTCCTAGATTTTTCAACATATAAATTTTCGTTCAAGTTGAAAAGTTTCACATACTCCTGTCACGTAATGCACGCTGCTTGCTGAGCGAGGGCGGCAGGGAGAGCGAGGCGTGGCAGTTGTACTATGTGGCGTGCGAGTCGCTAATTTATGTCTGACATTAGAATGCAATCATATTCACTTAAAATATATCACAATGCAGAAGAAGAGGGAAAATAAACGCTTGGCCTGTTTATTTCCATCTCAATTGAAGTTTTCCAATCTGGCGTTGCCAGATCGCGTGCCGTTTAAGCTGACAGCGCCATCTAAACTTTGGAACATACAAATGTCGAAACTAATTGAGCTAATAGATGTTCTTATTCTACAATGCATCGATACATCGTCTGCGAGCTTTCATCAGCTTTGCTATTCAGTTTTCAACTGCATTGGCTATCGATTTATTTACTATCGATCTTTGCTTCTAACAAATAACCTCCTTAAGCCCTCATAAAGCTTAAGTCTTCTGAAGTCTTTCGTCATGTAAGGTAATTTTAAAGAAACTGACACCAATATTTATCGATTAATGTCGATCATTGCGTCTGTCAAATATGCATCTTAAGGCCTCGTGATTTGTCAACTGTTGCTTTTGACGCAAGAACAGAGGCCATCATTGGAAATCGATATATATCGATCATAGATATGACGTTCTATACAAACAATGATCGATTCATCACGCATGCCTAATGGTAGGTCAATAGTTTATTCATTTACCAAACAATTTTGCATAAGTACGGGGTATATCAGGTAATCCGTCAGCTTTGTATCACACGCAACAGCGCCTCAACAAATCAGAATACACGATTCGACAGCGCATTAAGCACAAGTCTGATGATATCATGGAGGTGTCTCTATACATAACATACATCTATGTAAATGGGCGTGTCGCAGTGTAAGCCTGGCCGGGCAACTGACCCGTGACATGTGTCGGGACTAGCCCTGGCCCCCGTCTCTGCTACATCATTGGGAACATAAGCCGCAAAAAGGATTTTCGACAGCGGCTGCAAAATGGGAAAACCAAAGAATTATTGCCACTACGTCCCTGACCCGCATGGCCAACAGACTGTGCATCATTCTGTCCCCCTCGCTCGCTCGCTCACTCACTCACTCATTGTCGCATAATCCCAGGCAACGTGACCCAGCTGACAGTTTACAATTTTGCAGCAAAAGCTGCCCCCTTTGCCGCCCCTCGCCCTGCCACCCCTTGTGAGCTCTCCTGACCTCCCCCACACATAGCACGAGAGGACGCCGCTGCGCTGGGAGGTGTTTGGTTAAGCACATAATTAATACGAAATTTGATTGCCTTTGCCGCGATGGGACAACACGGGCCTGGCCCAGGATGTAACCTATAAAAGAGATTGCCAAGCGAGCGAGCGAGCGAACAAGTGTGTGCGTGCGAGTGTGTGGGTGTGTGTGTGGGTGTGTGTGCGTGTGTGTTGGGAAAAGTGAAAGTCAAATTAAAGCAAACTCTGCTGTTGGCATTACCGCTGCTGCGGTTTGCCGCTTAAACGGTTGTGGTTTAATTAATCGACTCATAGTCGATGCCAAGTCGGTTGCACTTAATGCCGATACGATCCCATACATTTGCATACACTATGCACGCAGTTAAAGAGAGTTGATTGATTGATTGATGATTGAGAATTTGAAATGTGGACAGATCTATAACTTCTTCTAGTCGGACAACGGACTCCTAGGCAGCTCCTAGTCTGAGCCCTGAAACTTTTGGTATGATTGATTTCAATTTGTTTAACTGCTAGAAGCTTTTGAAACTCTTTGTAAGACATTAATCGCCAATCAATCAATCGGATAGTTATACAGAGAATCTGTTGACCAATCAGCAAATGAGTAAGCTGCAACGTCAATCCTGCTGTTAGCTGGTCAAGCAGAAAGTTGAGGTGTGTCACTAAGTCAGCCAATCAAATAATTGGATGTATTTCAATCAGTCTGTTTATCAGTCAGTCAATCAATCTGACATTTGTTGGAATACTCATACATCAGTAAGTCACTCTATCAATCAGAAAGTTAAAATAATACAAATAAAGTTAAAGTATCATTGAATTACCAACCAATCAATCAATCAATCATCTATGTTAAGGTAGTATATGTGAAACTTCATCAGTTAGTTAGCAATCAGACCAAACAGTTGCATATAAATGTAAGTATAGACTGAAAGCTGATACAGCTGATCAGACAGTACTTGAATATGTCAATCAGTCAATCATTGATAGACAGTTATTCAGTCAAAAGCGAAATGAATGTGTCAGTCGTCAGCTAAAGGAACTATGAATCACCAAGTGAATCTATAAAGTTGTTCAGTCATTTGTTTTATAGAGTATCTTGCAGTTGCGTCTAGCCCATTCTGAGCTCTTCGCTCACTCATTTCGCCTGACTTCCTGTCACTGGGATTTTTTTTTTTTGGTTCTTTTCGGGCTGATGGCTGCCTTCAAATGGTTTCGCTGCCTGCTTTTTAATGTATGTATATCCATGGCCAGAAGGAGTTCCGTTGTGGCGCCAGCGGCTGTCTCCAGCTCCGGCTGTCAGCAGATACAAAAAAAAAAAAAAAAAAAAAAAAAAAAAAATATAGAGAGTTGAGAGGAAACTTTAACTTTTGTTGTGGTTGGCAGCCAGTTCTTATGGCCGAAAATAAATCAAGCGCCAAACTACTTTTGCCACAAATGATTAATTAACTGCATTTTGTGCTCGACCACGTCCTGGACAATGCCGGCGATCGCACTGAGTGCGGGCGACTGCTTCAATGGACGAATGGGTGGCACTTCAGCGTCTCGGTTAAGATATTATTAATGTGCTTGTTAGCTGCTCGCCCCGCCCTGTCGGTCCAGCCCCTTCCGCATCGCCTGCTTCACTCACTCCGAATGACCGAATGAATTATGAGCGCGTTTTCTTTAACTTTTTGTCTGCCAGCTGCTTCACCTCGTCCGCAGCTCAATTAGATGTAAGCGCGTAGGCGTTGCTGCCACGCCCATCACACGGCAATTGGAAGGTGCTCATATAACGGATATCCTTGCAGCTAAGCATTTATCCACTGTGGCCAGATTATGTTATATGCTATTGCCATTCACACAAAATGAACAACAATTTTCAACAACAATTAATATAGATATTAATAATTATATTTTTATACTCTAAAATTCAAAAGCTTCTCATTCACAGAAAATAGAAATTCATTTCATTAGCTTTTACTATAAGTATAAGACATAGACAAATGTCCTCATAATCGCCAAGTTAATATAAACTCTGTCTGCTTCAACTTTTGCGTTGCTTAGAGATTTATCTGCCATTCACACAAAAGTGATTTGCTCTTAATGTTAGTTTTTTATGACAACTATTATTTCTATTTTCTATTTTCATAGGATGTGGCCTATGTCAGTGGCTATCCCAGCGCGAATGCCGCCCATATTCACATTTATGGCCATACTTTTCCCAGACAGTTAACATTTATTTGCCATTCGCACAGAATGAAAGCACATTTCATTCGCTTTGCACGCACTCAGGCACTCGGCTTTTATGTTATGTTAATTATCATGATGATTATTTTTATTTTATATTTTTTTCTTAATTTTATTCCGCATTTTAAACAGAATTTGTGTTCACAATTAGCTCCAACTTAATTTTTATATGCAGTCGGCAACACATCCCCACGGGCTGCTCCCATTAGAGGAGTTTTGCTCTCTTTTTTTGTATTTTATTTTTTAGCATAAACACACACAGAAACACACGCACACACTCACACATATTTGTACAGTGTTACATGGTACTTAACGTACGTCCGTCTCTCGCTCAGTGCTGGGGCAGCGCTGAGCAAACAGCGACCTGAACAAACTTTGCCAGCCAGCTCGAGGCGTTGCTTGCTGAGTCTTTGTAAAAATGTAGTTAAGCCAATCAAAATATGGGGATTTTGCTTAATAATTATGCTTAGAAGGCTAGTGTAGTGATATGCTATAAGAAAGGAAAAGAGGTGCAGAGAGGAACCAATAGAGAGAGAGAGAATAAGTGGGAGAAAGACAACGAAAAGTGGAGCAAAACATATAGATATTGACAGAGGGAAAGAAAGAAAGAGATAGAGAGAGAGAGAGAGAGAGAGAGTGAGAGAGTGAGAGAGAGAGAGAGAGAGAGAGAGAGAGTGAGAGAGAGATACAGACAGATAAGTTATGGGGGTTAGAGCAAAGAAGAAATTAATAATGGCATAGTGAGAAGGAGAGAGAGAGAGAGGGAGAGAGAAGTTGGGCAAAATAATCAGAGGGGAAGACAGAGTGAGAGATAACTGAAGCGATATGATAAGAGGATAAATTAAGGATGGAAGAGCAAGAGATATAAAGCGACTAGCAGAGAGATATATTAACAGAGAAAAGAAAAATAGTCATATAGAATTAAAACGAGTAAGCGAGATAGAGATAGAGAAATATAGAGAGAGAGATACAGTTAGATAGTGATTAATGTATATTCATTTTTATTTTCAAAGTAGTATTTGCTTGGACAGATCTTAAGGCCAATTTCAGCAATGCGCTTCAAGTGGCGTCAGGTGGCAACGCTGTGTGCTGAGCGGCAAAGCGAAAAAGAAAATGTTGAGCTTACGCAGCCACAAGTTAGGTTTACGGTACTCCGAATTAAAGATACTTTAGTTTTGGCTTCCAATTTCATTTGCAGCTGCTTCAAAATCCAATTAACGCTGCCAAATGCTGCACAATGTGTGTCTGGCTATGTGTGCGCGTGAGTGTGTGTGCAAAGCTCCCAAAGGATAATAAGCAGCTTAGTCTCGAGTCCAGGCGAACGCGTCGATGCGCAGCAGCAAGAATAAAGAACTATAGGAAAACTTGTTAGCGCCAAATCGAAAGCGTATGTCGCTGGCATGCCACACAGAGAGGTCACATCGTCATATGGCTGAGCAGATTTCCCTCAGGTATTAGAGAGAGAGAGAGCGAGAGAGCGAGTGGGAGAGGGAGAAGTAGAGGGTAAGTAAAATGGCGCCACTCGATATGATAATGATACAATTTCGATAAAGCTTAACAAGGATTAGGCAACGACTGACGCCCGGATGAACGATGATATCAGCTAATTGGCAATGTGGTTCTTGCTGCCTTACTCTTCTTCTCTCTCTCTCTCTCTCTATCTGTTTGTCTGCTGGCAAAGGACAGTCCAGAATAATGCCCAATAAGCAGGCAGGAAGCTGCAGAACGCACTGGCGTCTAACTGGCTGCAGCTCGGAATGTGTCGCCAGTTGCAAGTGACAATTTATTAATAAACAGCAACAACAGCAGGAGCAAGAGCTGGAGCTGGCGCTGGCGCTGGAGCTGGAGCTGGAGCTGGAGCTGGCGCTGGAGCAGAAGCTGGTAAAGGGCTTTCGACTCGGACTCGACTTGCCACGCCTTGCCTTGCCTCGCCTCGTTTTGACTGCCAATTACTGCCCAGCAATAAATTGGATGTCACGCGGCGGCTACAGCCGGAACCCCTTGCCAATCAGAGCAACCAATGTTGCGTTTAATGGACTCCATAAATTCTGGAGTCGCCTGACAGGGCGGCCAACGTTTATTAGGCAACCATCGAGTACATTAGAACAGAGATGAATTACTTGCGCCCAGACTTGCGAGACTTCAAATTTCAGACTGCACAAGCAACGAGGAATTCCAGCTAATGAGAAAACAACACAAAAAAAAAAAAAAAGATCTAAGAACCAGAGGACATATGCATAAGTAGCTATAGGTAACCATAACTGTACTTGATATCGTCAGAATTATATTTTAATTATATTTTGTCTGATATTATATGATATATGATATATGATATATGATATATGCTATATATTATATGATATATGCTATATGATATATGATATATGATATATGATATATGATATATGATATATGATATATGATATATGATATATGATATATGATATATGATATATGATATATGATATATGATATATGATATATGATATGATATATAATATATGATATATGATATATGATATATGATATATGATATATGCTATATGATATATTATATATTATATATGATATATGATATATGATATATGATATATGATATATGATATATGATATATGATATATGATATATGATATATGATATATGCAGTTCCTTGTGTTTGGTGTTTTCATCATATGTTTTTGGCAACAGTTGTCCAATGCCTCAATGGCATTCAAAGTAAAACGCTAACATGTGTGTGAACACAAGAAGAAAAGGCTTGACTGATCACACACACTCCGCACACACTCCATACACACGCACTCACACTGCACACACGCAATCAAAGCCAAGTTGCAAAGAAATCAAATTAACCAAAGTGTGCAAACGGAATGAAAAATAGGACCGGGGGAAGTAAGCAGCTAGAAAGGGGTGCGGCAGGGGTATGTCGAGTGCATTGAATGCAGTTGCAAAGGTCGCCACAACCGCAGCCGACAGATGGCGCTCTTTGCGTTCTCAACTGTAAAGTAGGGTAGATTACATAGCTTTTTCAACGATGCTCGGGCAAGATGCCGGAAAATTCCAGCAAAAAGTAAAAGGAAAAAAATAAAGTTCGAAGGGGAAAAAGTGGGACTGAGGGGCTTGACTGGCGCCACTGAACCCAAGGAAAAGTCAACAGAAAGGAAACAGTCGAATAGGAAGCCGCCGTCTCATAGACAAAACTAAAAAGGACAACGGAACGAGTGAGAACCAGGAACAAGGAATGAGGAACGTGGAACTCACACACAGCAACTGTGCAGAAAAAAAACAAGTAGAATAAGAAGAAGAGCAAGACTGAAAGGCTAAAAGGCCGGATACGTTTCAATGACAGACCGAGCGAGAGCGACTGGGCCAGTAACTCGAGTAATTGGTAGATTCCTTCCCTACCAGCCCCTAGCCTCGGTCTGTGCTTGGACCCCCAACCCTCTCCTTGCCACGCTGCTTTAGCAAAATGTGTCTTTGTCAGAGTGCGTCACTGGAGCATGCAGAGCAGCTGCCTCGCCTTCCCCTCCATCCAAAGCCAAGATGATGTCAACGCCAATGCCAGCCAGAATGCCTTGCATATCAAAAGTGAAAACTTTCGACATATAATTTTGCGCATGGATTTTCACTTTGACGGCATAAACGATGACAATGCTGCCTTTGAGTTGTTCCTCCTTCCTTCCCGCTGCGCTTCCCCGCGGAGACACAAAGTCACGCTGCCTGCTTTTCAAATGAAAAGGGACAGCCTCACACACACACGCCCTCACAGAGGCTAAGCAGAGGTGCTGGCTGCTGGCTTTTTATCGCTGCTGGCAAAATTTTTTCGCATGCCTGACCAATCCCTTCCAGGCACGATCCTGCCGGCCACGTGTGGAATCTACATAATTGTCATACACCTTCATATATTCCTAAATCACCCATTGATATGTGACTTTTGCTTAAATCCATCTTTTGAAATTCTGTTTCCTAGATATATACAAAACACATTTGAATGCAAAAGCTGAATTACTTTATTGCATAGTTTTCTTCAATTTTATCGTCGTTTCTTATAGTACTTTATACAGATATATATACATCTCTCTATCCCTCTATCTATCGTTTGCCATTCTATCTATTATATACCATTCTCTCTCTCTATTTCTCTATAAATATATATGCTTACTTATTTATATATGTATTTACCCATTAGCTTCTATCTATTCCTTTGCCTATCGCCTAGTCGCACGTGCTTTCTCTCTCCCACTTCCGTCTTCCAATGCTAGGCAATATTAATACTTTTCTGATTGGTCAAACTCTCACTGTTGCCATTCACACAAAAGCGCGATCATTTTCATCAGCGGCTTTGGCTGCGCGTCAATGCAAAAGTGATTTTTGGCTTACCAAAACTTTAAATGGCAACTCGGCCCCATTGTGGTGGGGCCGCAACGTTTGCAGCGGCTGCCAGCCACGCCCACTTGCGCACGACACACGCCAGCCGCCCACTGTGCTGCCGCATAAAACGCGCAACTACTTTTGGCTGTAATCTGCGCTTATAAACTTTTTGCCAGCGAAAAAGGGTGTTGCATGTCGTTTTAAGTGAGCATCGGGCAAGTTGCCAACTTTCCTGACGCTCCGAGAGATATATCTATATCTATATATGTATGTAGATAGATTATATATATGTTTATATGACTAACGGTTATGGCGCCCGTTGGCTTTTAAGCTGCTCGATTGGCGCATCAGTTGCCAACATTTTTATTAACCTGCACACATATATACATGTGTATGTATGTATGCGTGTCTGTATGCATTTATGTAGTCTGTCTGGTGATTTGCAGCTACACTCTGTGAGATATACTAGAGACTGTCGTTGAGGGAGGGCTCTGTTTCGGAAGAGGTGTCTGTTGTGGAGCCCGTTTCCATTTCATTGGCAGGCGTTGGACGCGTGGCCCGCTGCTTGGCCGCATCGGCCTCGGCCTCTTCGCGCAGCACATCCTGCAGCCCGCCATTCAGCTCGACCATCAGCGAACGGAAATTGGCATCGATTGGGCCATTGAACAGGGAGATGATCAGCAGACGCTTGTCCAGCGGATTCGAGACGTTCAGCACGAAGCGTCGAAATGCGGCGCCATTCTGAAAAAAAGAGGAAAGCGGGAATCGAAGTGCTGCCTGAAAGTGGGACATCGAGCTGCACACTCACATCTTCGGGCCGTGGCGAGATGTGCGGCTCCGACTCCACGGCCAATTCGAAGATAACACGACGTCGCCGCGGCTCCGGTTCCGTTTCATAAACCGAACTTGTATCCGTGCTCGAGTCGCGATCCATGAGAGAAAAAGTTGCCCCTTGTCTGCTGAATGTGTCAGCCAAATCGAAAAGTGAGGCAGTGTTGCACAACGCCGTGCATAAATGTTAACATCTTGTGCAACACTAAGCTGCACGTGTTGCCAGCCCTTTAACTAGGAATATCAACATTGCAAAGATGGGACAAAGCTCACTTTCTCTCTCCCACACTCGCTTTCTCTCTCTCTGTCTCTCTCTGTTTTTGTGTTCTTTGGTTTGTTTTGCATGTGTGTAAATTTAGAAATTATGTTTTCTTGTCTTTTAATTAATAATCTCAATGGTGTTTGCGGCTTTCACTTGCAGAGTGGCTGAAGCTAAGGGCAGACAAGGCACAAAGCATAAAGATACAAGTCATATGCATGTTGCTGAGTGTGCGTGTGTGTGTAGAATGTGAACTTGTGGTAGACAATAGACGCAATGTACTTATATAAGCAACTCATGTGAGGCCCACATGAGAAACCAATGCCAGATGCGACTTCTACTCCAGCTGCTGCTGCTGCTGCTGCTGCTAGCTGAAGTGAAGGCACTTTTATGGGCTGCTGTTTGTGTCTGTGTGTGAGTTGACAATGTGATTTACATTTAATTAAAATCGTATTTACTCGTTAGATAAACAAACAACGAGAGCGAGAGAGATGGGGAGAGCAGACGTCGTAGCACATTTGCTTTCTGGCCCATTTGACTTGGCCCCGAGCAGCTGCTGCTCAAGGATTAAGTTCTAAAATTGTTGTAAAAAAGAAAGAAGCAGAAAGCTAAGGAAACGGCTCAGCCTCAGCTCTGCCTGTCTGCTGCTCGTCTTTCATCAGCTACAAAAATAAATAATGCCTTCGATTGCGGCTGGAAATAATTTGAATATCAACTGGAATTTCACTTCAATCAAATCAAATCAAAATTACATCGAATTCAATTTGCAGCTTGTTTTTGTTTTGGTTTTCGTTTTGCCTGCTTTGAATAATTAAAAATTTATTTCGAATCTCCCAAAGCCAGCGCCACATTCATGTTCGCTTTTCTCGTTCTACACTCGGATCAAATCTCGCTTAACTCAACTGGCAAATCTCAATCTACTTCCCTGTTGAGTTCAGTTCTTAGGCTCGCTTCAATTTCTCGTTTATTTATGGCTTGAGCAAATAAGCTTCAAATTCGATTTATGCTTATCAAGGTATTTATTCATTTCACTTTAATGCCTTTTATCTCTACGTCTACTTTGATAGTAAATGAAAATGAAAATCAAATTTGTGCATTAAATAGTTTTCGAATACTATTTTATTATTGAATTTTCAATTAATTTAGGCCATTGAGCTGTGCCGTCGTTGCTCTAGAGTTGTCTCTACCTTACCTCCACGTTGATCTCTCTATCTCCTTATCTATTTGTCCGGAAATTTAATTACAGCATTCCAGTTAGACCTCTTAGGCAAATATTTACCTTGTTTCGCCTCCATGTTCACTTTATCAAATTCAATTCCAACTTTTGGCTAGCTGCTTGCAAATAACAGTTTTTTATCCCAAAGTAATCTGCTCAGTCTATCTGCTGTCTCGCCTCCATGTTCATCTTAAATCCAGCACTCCCACTTTATGGAATATTCCAATATATTATTGAAATCTGTATGCTCCTCCTATCTCAGCTCAGCGCCATGTGCAGTTGAACTTTTTAGAAATCTCATTGGGTGTTTCAAGTCTTGCTTTCAACTTAGGCAACTTAAGAATACATCAATGCGCCTAAGTTTGGCCTGACATTTAGCTGCTCACCTCCGTGCTCACTTAATTGCTTTCATCAATGCTAATTCGCTCTGCCAACTTGTCTGATTTGCGCATGCAAATCGCAACTCAGCGAACTGCTTCCCCCCATTGTCGGCTAAGACACAAAATGTTTTTTCCTTTCCCATTTTTCAAGCCTGTCCGACTGTCTGTCTGTCTGTCTGTCTGTCTGTCTGTCTGTCTCGTTGTCTCTTTTGCAAGTGTCTGTCTGTTTTGCAAGTGTCACTTCACATTTGCTGCCTGCGAAACTTAAAGCCAAATCTTTTTAATACGCTGCCAAAGCGTATGATAATTTCCCAAAGCCTTATGTAACGCAGAGCTGATGTTACAATATCTAACAGTAGATGAGGCTTATGTATTGCCCATAGGTATTAGGAGCTTCACTGTACATCCAACACTCAACTTTCACTCTCTCAGTTGTTTGCCTGGCACTGCCTTCCTATTTCAGGTCTTGCTTCTGTCTTCTATGTGGCTTGGTTCACAGTTCTGAGTGAGTCTCTACGCTTCGAATAGTTTTCTTTTGCTTCTCTGCATGTTCACGCCTTAAGCTCGGCTCCTGTTTGTTTTGTGGAAGATAATTTTGAACCAGGTTTTGGTTTCTGTTCCTGAACATTTTGGAAGACAGCAACTGTTGCCGTTTCAGTTTCAGTTGCTCTATATTTTAAGTTGAATCATTCGAAATGGTTTGGCTCGTTAGCTTTTGAGCCACTGCAACAGCTTCTGGCATAGACTTTAGTGGTTGTAGGCAGATTCGTGTCGTTTCAGTTGTAAACCGGTTCAGTAATTTCTAGAGTATTCACGTCTCGACTAGTCGTAGCTTTGCTGGGATATCGTGTTTTGCTTTTAATCGATACATTTTGTGCTTTTAACTGAAAGAGTTTCTCGTCTTCGTCTTTTGTGCTTTGTGTTGAGCTCCCTTTTGGGCTTGTAAAACAATGACAGGGACAAATTTGTGCGCTTGGCAAACAGACAGAGGACGGCCGAACAATGGACAGCTGAGACAAAGAGACGAACGTGGGCACTGGGGTTGGGACATCCTTTAAGTGTCAATACAAATATAAATCAATGTTAGCAGCCCAAAAGGTAGCCTCTAAACAAACAGTTGGCATTTGCTGCTGTTGAAAAGTGTGTGAGCAGCTTTGCTTTGCGTTGCTTTTTCTTTTCTCTTTTCATACTCGCTCAGCAACTGAAGAGAGCATATTGGTTCGGGGCAGTGTGTGTTCGTCCGTCTCTCTCTCTCTCTGCTTGATGATTGATGACAAGTTTTAGATCTGTGCTCACATGGAACATGACAAAACAGATACCGAATCAATTCTCGCTGCTGATACCTAATCTTTGCCTCTAGTGTTCGAGTATTAGACAGTCGGCTGTGCCCAATTGCAAGGCTCTCACTTGACTTAGCTCGACCAGGCAATCAATTTTAACAAGCGCAAACACCTTTTCCTTTTCGTTTGCCCACTTTCCGCTTCATTCAACTTTTCATCTGTCTGGCAACGCTGTGCGTCTTAACATGCATGTCTAAAAATATACAAGCCACTTCCTCAGAGCTGCATGTCAAATGCCTGCTAATTGCCATTATTGATATCATCGACAAAGAGGGAGGGAGGGAGAGAGAGGGAGAGTAGGAGCAGCAGCAGGAGCAGGAGCAGGAGCAGGAAGTGCCTGAGATTTGTGTTGCTTAACAAGTTTTTTCTTTGCTGCAATTCTCGCATTTAATTTGCAATCCAGTCAACACACACACCCGCACAAAGTACCTTCACTTCGGACCCGTTGCCACTGAGAGCCAACGTGTGCTACCCGTTTTAATTAGAGAGAAAATTGCGGGGCTCGCGCAAAAAGTTTACAGACATTTTTTTATGCTCAACATATAGACTTTGCTTTTGTGCTTGCTCGACGGCAGCAGTTGTTCAATTTAATGTAGCCAGAGAGGCGGCAGAGGAGGGAGCATTAACCACACAACACAAAATAATACAAAAAACTAAGCGAGTCTGCGTTCCGAACTCTGCTCTGTGGGCGCGCATCAAGTTATTAATGCCAGCTTTAAAATTAGTGCATCGTGCTTCTGATATTTAGAAGAAGAGTCTTAGCTGAGCTGGCTCAGCTGGATGCTGCGACTATGATCTGCTGTTACAGCAGAGCTAATTGCAGTTCAGCAGGAGTTACACTATTTCCGATCAGTTTAGTTTTGAGAATTCTTTGAGCTAAGCTTAAGCTAAATTTGTGTAAGTATTCAAGGACATTTGCCCTTTGATCCTGCATCTTTTTCAGTTGTCAGAAGATGTGAAGGCAGTGGTGGGGGTAGAGGGAGAGATTATTGCCCCTGGCGCCTTCATCAAGTCGAGACCAACCTTAGAGATCTAATTGCGAGCGTATCATTGTTGGCCAGGCTGTCATTTGAATGATGCCCTGGTCTATAGCAGATGGCATGGATAAAGCTGCAAAAGCTTCTATGCCTTGGCATAAATTGGAACATTGAGGGCGATAAATATATAGTTTGTCAGCTCTTTGGCCAACTCGCTCGGCAGCTGAGTGAAGTGAGCTAGTAGTCCGAGACAAATTGACATAGGATTTGTACTTTTTTTGTTGGGAGTGCGTCAAATGAGCTGTAGAGTTTATTTTGATACGATTGCGTTAGCTGGTGAGAGAGAATAAATATTGTGAAAAAGTTTATTTTCGTCGAGAAAATGGATTCCTTGGGCAATAATCGCTATCAGTTGCTGTTCATCGATGACGAGGCCAGCGATGTGTGCGTTGGCCAAAAGAAGCTCCAGGAGTTCGACGACAACCCGAAGCTCAAGTGCAACAAGCTGCCAGGCAGCGAGAAGCTAAAGTCGCTTGTGCTGGGCAAGAAGACAGCGAACCAGACCAAAAGCAGCGGCAAGGGCGAGCAGGGGCCCAAGTCTGATCGCTCCAAGGCAACCAACGGCACATTTATGATTAACGGCGGGCAGAAAGTTGAGCTAAAGAAATTGAACTCTGAGCAGCAACAGCAGCAGCCATTGCAGCAACAATTGAATGCGCAGCGACAGCAACAAATGCAATTCCAGATGCAGCAGCCGCAGCAAGGACAACAACAATCACAGCAGCAGCCACTGGATCCGCCCCAGCCGCAGCGCCATTATAGGGAGCGGACTGTCTTGAGCCGCATCATTAGTAACAGCAGCAAGACCGGCGGCTATGGCTATGGCCGGCTCTATAAGAGCAAATTCGATCGTCATTCGGGCTCCGATAAGACGGGCATCAAGGCCGTGGTCAAACGCAATGGAGGCGGCGCCCACAACTGGGGCTCGGTGATCAATGACATCGAGGACCAGAGCATTGCCATAAAGTCACCCATGTTGACAGACAAAGATGATTCGCTCACCGAGCAGCAGCAGAAACAGCGCCAACAGCACCAGGAACTATCGCAACAGCACCAGCAGCAATTTCAACAGCTGCAATCGCAGTCGCAGCAGCTCCAGCTTCAGCAGCTCCAGCAGCAAGGCGATAATTGCATGGAGGAGGATGACACCAAGTATATAACTGTCGAGGAGTGGCGTGCCATGCGCGTTGAGCGTGCCAAGCCCATCTACAATATACGCAAGGCCGGCGAGGGGGAGGCCAACAAGCCGGACTGGAAGAAAATGATTGTCTTGCCAAAGAAGAAGCCATTGAAATCGGACTCCGATTCGGGTCTGGAGTATGATGCCTCTATGTATCCGCAGCGCGTCGGGCGGCAGCAGCGCGTCATGAATATCGAGTTCAAATTTAAGGACGATCGCCGTCGCAGCGGCTATCTCAGCGGCTGGGTTGCCGGTCGTTCGATGGCCAAATGCGAGGTGGAGAGTGTTTCCGATCCGATCAATATGAACGATGAAGCTGAGTTCCCGACTCTCGGCTAATGAAACTAGCAAGCAATCAATCAATCAGTAACTCAAGCTATCAATCAGTCACTCACTCCAACAATCAATCGATCACCTAAAGCAAATAATTTAAATTACACTCTCGGACAATCAATAATTCATGAAATCAATCAATCAAACACTCATCACCATATCAATGGGATACGCGTAATTCACATCCAATTTCTTGGAATTGACCCAAAGCCCATCGAATACTTTCCATTAACTTCGTCTTTCTGCGGGATTTAACACGCAGACGCGTTCGTTAAACATTTTTTTCTCACTTTTGGCCATCTTGTCTTAAAATCAAAACATTGCAAGAAGAACAAAAAAAAAATGTTTAAATTACGATTGAAATAATGTAATTTATATGGAACGCGATTTTATGTCCTATTTCACATGTAAACACACACAAAATATATTCAATGTCTAAAATGAAGTTAGTCAATCAATTTTTATCCGCTTGTTTATCAATCAGTTGTGTATCAATTAATTGGTCCGCCAGCAATCAATCAGCCATGAATGAATCTGTCGGATCAAGTCGATCGTAGCAATCAATCAGTCAGGCAGGTCATTCAATCAATCTGATGTTTGTCAGCTGATCACTTGTCAATCAATCAGTCATCAGTCTCAAGGACATTTAATTAGCAGTCAGCTTAATGAGTTAGTCAATCAGTCCATCATCAATCACTCAAGTGTCGGACAACCATTTAATCAGTTAGTCAGCTTCACGAGTCAGTCAATCAATCACTCAGTCAAGTAAGTCACTCTATCGGTAAGTTAATATGTTTGTAGTCAGCAGGTCAATCAATCAACCAATCAATCAGTCACGAGTCAGTTCTCAGTCCGTTAATCATTCAAATAGTCGCTCAGTCAATCAATGATCAGCTTAGTCCTTTATTGAAATTAATCTGTTAGTCAATAAGTCAGCAGTCATCAGTCCAGATTGTCGCCTTTACAGGGTATTGGATTAGCTCTGCTGCCAATTGAATCGATTAAACCAAATTCATTTACTTGATGCACTTGGCTTTCGGTACTTTGGGACTGAGTTTTGTTTCCTTTCTCTTATGAATTGCTCATAACTTAAACGTCTCCACGCCCCCTCAGCTGGCTGTTAACTTTAACTGCAACTTGTAAAAATTAGTTGCTGCTGCAGTTGCTGCAGTTGCTGCTGCGTTTCATATTTTTCATAATTAAAGTGCAAATAAAAACTAGCAGGAAAACAAACAATTGCAATTAAATGTTTTCTTTTTGCTTCTCGCTGCTGTCGCTGCTGCTGTAGCTGCTGTTGCTTTTGTTGCTGCTGTAACTGCAATACCCTCTAAGCAATTGAGATGCTGAATAAAGCATGTTGTCATTAATTGACAGACATTCGTAAGTCTAGGGAAATCTGAAACTTAAGGCTTGACTCACGACTGGTTAAGAGCTCGCAACTATAAAAAATGTTTCGTTTGATAATGTTTTTGATAACTTATTGAATATTTGATATGCTTCTAAATAAAAGATTTCCTTGGCAATGCAATACGTAAGGCTCTCTTAAACCTTAAGCTAAAATAGCTTCAAACTGCTTCGGTTCAAAATAGGTTTGGGCCTCTCAACTATTAAAATTATTCAGTTCAAGAAAAGCTAAGCTATACGTAGCTAAAGAGCTCATAAGCTTTCAATGAATCAACAGATAAAACTCGGTTCGAACCGGTTCATATATAAAAATTTGCGGTTTCATTATAGACTTTCTAGCGCAGCTTAAGCTGATACGTTTTCAATGGAATTTGAATCGTAAAGCTGCTTTAAGACAGTTTCAGGCTCGTGTTGAACCGGTTCGAGTCTGCCAATGGAAATCGGATTGCTAAAGTTATCTGTGCGCAGTGCCAGGGCATACAGCTAGTCGTGCATGCCCGCTGCTGCAACTTAGCTGCTGTTTGCTATTTTTTCTGTTTTTTTTGTAGCCGTCGCTGCTCGCGGGCTCATAATTCACTTTTTATTATCTCGTATTTTATGGCTGAGCATGAAGCGCACTAGAGCGTTAGAGCAGGAGAGAAGCGCACGCACGCACACTCACACACACACTCACTCACACACATTATATAGATATATATATATATCTGGCAGTTGGCTTATAAGTGTTGCAGCACTGCCACGCCTCCTCGCTCTCCGCCCTTCCTGCTAAGCCCTGCGTTTGTATCGTTTAATTCATTTAGTTTTTGCCTTTTAGCGCTTTATTTGCTTAATTGCTCTGCGAGTGTGTGAGTCTGTGAGCGTCTGTGTGTTTGTCGATTATGTGCTTAAATACACAAACACACACACGCACACACACGCAAAGAGAGATGAGTGCATTACGCAATTACTTCAACTGGCAAACAACAACGAGCAGAAGAAGCAGCTGCTGAAATTAATCAAAATATGAAACAATTCAAACAGCTGCATTTGCAAACTAGGCAACACCCACACGCTGTCGCCCACTTAAGCTGAGTTTGACAGCAATTTGCATTTGCCAGCATATGCTTAAAACACACACACACACACACACACACACAAGCACGCGCCCACGCACAATTGCTAAGTTTGCGTTTAACTAAATGTAAACATTTTAGCGGCAGCTGCTCTGCCGGCGTCGCTGCTAGCAACATGAATTCATTAGACGCTGCACACACACACACACACACACACACGCACGCACACTGTCGCCAGCTTCATTTGAGCATTTATGTGAAAATATTTTCGATTATTCTGAGCGGGCCAGCTCGCCGCTCCTCCACTCGGCGAGCGCCCCAAAAAGTATGCTGTGATTTTTGGCATACACCCACACACACACACACTTGCATAAATCGATATATGTAACTCATGCGATCATAAAATGTGTATAAAAGCAGAAGAGAAAAAAACAACAGCAGCAGCAGCAGCGGCAGCAACTCGTCGAGTGTGAGAGATTTATGGTATATGTTAATGTAAAGCATTCACAAGGGGCGCAAAAGTCGCCGCCCCCTATTTTGTAACACCACCCAGCCTCGTCTCGCTCCACACCACCCCACCCCACCTGCCGCCTTGGCAGTAGGTTTTTTGCCTTCAACTCAATTTCAAGGAAAATGTTTTTCGAAAACTGTTTCAAAATACGATTTATGCCATCATCAAAAAAATAAATAATATCGACTATAAAATGACAGAAATGAAATTCGCTTTAAACAAAATTGATAAAGGCAAAGCTTAAGTGTGTAAAGCGTGCTGCACAGTGCGCTCTCGCTAAGACGACTGCGTGCATAAGTATTTATGCCACGACGATTGATTTCTTGAATTAAAACTTGATTTTTTAAACAAATGCAGCCCAAAGTGAACGACTAGCAGATGCCCTGTATCTCGCCGTGCCCTGCAACCATTGAAGAGGAGGCGCAGCAGACCACTATAAAGCACATAGGACGATGAGTTAGGCCGTCCTTCCGTTCCTTTGGCCGTTGCTAGAGTCTCGGCTGTGCATTTGTGCTTAGTTAGAGTATCCACTTAGGGTATCTTCTAACCGACGAGAGCACTCTTATTGGTTTGTTTCTTTTTCATTTTCCAACAAGTTTTTCTTCTTTCAGCCTTGCCATTGGCCTCACATCAGCCAAGGCAGACTCTGCCCGTTGTACAGGGTATATTGTTGTCTGTTTTATGAGCTTATTTTTATTTATTTTTTGCCATGCCTCACACTGTCGCTAGACTCCTTAATCTTGTAATTGTTACAGTCTGGGCCATAAAAATAAAAACTTTTGCCTGCTGTTCCTTATTTCAATTTTTATTGACTTGTTGTTCGACTGGCTTCTATGCTGCTTCTATGGCTCTGTATTTATTTGCTTTAATGGCTAATGCGTATTCGATGTGACTCTCTCACTCTCTCTCTCTCTCTCCCACTCCCTGCTACTCTCTCTCTCTCTCTCTGGTGCTTTTTCTGGCCTTTGTTATGTGGCTCGTTATTTGATTTCGTTTCTCGATTTGCCATTTTGAATTCACTTCATTGAATTGTTAATTTTATCGCCACACACACACGCACACACACTCATATACACGCACATACACACACATAGACGCACATACACTCGCTTTCTCTGGTTGTTTTTCTTGATTGTCATTGCCGGAGTCTTCTATGGGCTGCGTTTCATTTGAGGTTATTACAGACCATATCTGCCTCGTCCTGCCGCCACGCCCATTGCACACACCGCCGCCCGCTTACATGGCACACCTTCAGGGTCTATTGAGCCTTCGCTCAGCCTCCTTGTTTATCATTTGGCAATATTACATTTTATTGCCCAGCGTATTACATGCGCGCATCGGGCTCTGTTTGCCACAATATGCGTCCAATATGTTTGATTACGTGGCACAAACGCTTGCAGCGAGGGCTGCTTGGGCAGTTGCTATAGCCATAGACCATAGCCTTGTAGAGAAGGTTTTCTCAATAAACTTAACTTTTTTTATTCAATTTTCTTACAGCTGATGCTTGGCTTGGCTCTGTCTCTTGTCTTGTGGTTCAGTTTCTGTCTGTTTCTTTGGTTACTCCCTGGCTTAAAACCTGCTCAGATATGGCTCCACATTAACTATTGACTTAGGTTTTAGCTTTGTTCTTATGTATTTCGCTTGTCTACAATCTCGACTCAAAGATGTCTAAGGGCCAATGTCTTCTCTCTGACTCAAGCAGTCGGTAAATGTTGAGCGCTCAGTTTCAAAATGAATTTGAGCTTAGCTTTGCTTCAGGTCTTTTTTATATCTATCTAGGGTGCCTCATTAGCTTCCTTTTGTATCATATATCAAATGTTTCGAGCTGCTCTCGGTAGCGCTTCGTACAAATATGCCAACGGGTCTTTGGCTAGATAAAAGTTTAATATTTGATTATAATTTTTTGTTGTTTATGCTTTAATTTTGATTTTTAATATATGAATATTAAAATTGAGTAAGATACATGTGTGTGTGTGCGAGTGTGTATGTGCGTGTATGCCCATGTGTGTGTGTTAGTCCTTTGCACAGTGACGGGCTGT